AGACTCAAGAAATGGAGGAAAACCCTAGGCGCTGAAAAAAATACCTATTTATACTTCTTCTTGCCCTTTTCGTCGACGATTTTGATTATGAACTTGGTGGAGAAGATGTTGGTGAGCTTCGCACTATAGTCATTGCATCCACCAGTGGTCTTCTTGATGTTGTCATCATAGTTATTGTTAGTGAGCAAGTGGCCGCAAATGAGTTTGGGGATCTCGACGGGTATGGCATCGCCGTTGTTGAAGACGAATACAATGTTCTGTTTGGCATTGATGGTGACCTTGAGGGCTGCCATGGAGGGATCTCGCTGCTTATTGTCAACGGTGTTGACGAGGATCTCGTTGGAGATTTTGTAGAGGCCTGGAACGTAGGAGACGAGGCGTCGAAGATCTGGGATGGTCTTTCCCTACGGCAAGTGCGAGAAAGAAGGATGAAGTGTTGTAATAAAATTCAAACAAAAAAAATCTGTTGTAATGAAAAGTTTAATACATCATTTGATTTTAGGGGTTTGGTTCAAAGTAATCCTACCTTTTAAAAAAGTTCAGTAAGACCCCATATTTCGTTAAAAAATATTCAATCTTGTCCTTTTCTCACACAGTTAAAAATATAACGGTGCAAATGCCATTGTGGCATCTCATAAGCATGTGACACACGTTAATAAGTGGACTTAAATAATTTTTTAATTTTAAAAAATTATCCCTGCCACATCATCATCACTATCTTCAGACAAACCCTAATTTCTCTCCAAGAAACACTAGCCGCCGCACAATCGAGCGTCGTCACCGCCATTCTTACCGGAAGCCGTCCTCTCCAACGCATCACACACCACCACCAAAGTTATGCGACGAGAACGCGAGAAACCCTAGGTTTACACGGTTTGCTTGCAAGTCTGATTGTGGTTGCAGGTGAAGGCAAGCAGCGGTGCAATTAGTGGTGGACAAGAGTAGCGATTCACGATCTATAGCAGTTGGCGATTTGGCTGGTGGTTAGTGGTCGATGATTCTGTGGTGGAGATTGGAGGGCAGTGCTGCTGGCCCAACAACGATTTGGCTGGTGCGAGGGTGAAAATGGTGAAGATTGGTGGTCGCGGCATAACAAGGGATCGCGTTAGATGGTGGTACGAGAACGAAGGTGAGATGCGAAGGTGATGGAGGTGAAACAGAAGGGAGAAGACGCTTTGGTGGTGGCGTGTGATGCGTTGGAGAGGACGGGTGTCGGCGAGGATGGTAGTGACGGCGTTGGATGGTGCGGCGACTTGGGTTTCTTGGAAAGAAATTAGGGTTTGTCTGAAGATGGTGATGATGACGTGGCAGGAATTTTTTTTAAATTAAAAAATCATTTAAGTCCACCTATTAACGTGTGCCACGTGCTTATGAGATGCCAGAGTGACATTTGCACCGTTATGTTTTTAACGGCGTGAGAAGAAAGGACTCGGATTGAACATTTTTTAACAAAATATGGGGTCTTACTGAACTTTTTTAAAAGGTAGAATTACTTTGAACCAAACCCCTAAAAGTAGGGACCAAATGATGTATTACAAAAAAATTATTTTCAAAACAAGTGTCAAACATTTGCGAGAATTATAAACTTTCGAGATCAGGCAAAAGCTTCTTTAATTTGGGCACGTCTAACCCAACACATCATCTGATTTGTGTAAGACAGCTGCCACGTGATTTGATAAAATACCATCTAGTAATATTTTCAAAACATTACCTGCATTGCATTAAATTTTCAGAAACTTAAAATCTAAATGTAAAAGCACGAGTCCATAGAGACAATGGTGATTAATATTATACAGATAGAGCATAGATTGCATCATCTTAGACATAATATATTGAATAACTTGAAAATCAATTACGGTTGGGATAACTAGTGAAAAATAATGACATAATGGTTTTAATTTGTTTTTTGGACAGTAATAGCGAGCTCAATAGTAATTCTCTTAGATCTAAATGAGAGTAGGATCAACCTAGCCAACAGGATGAGATATTATTAGCAGCTGATGATGATGCTGGAGAAAACACTTAAGGCCAACTTAGTTAAAAACAATAATGAGATTGACCTTAAGGCACATTAGTTAAAAACAATAATGAGATGCACTTAAGGCACATAGTTAAAACAGAATGTTGGTAAAGTAAAACTTAACTACTTTAATTTTGAGTTCAAGTCATAACTTGTTTCTCTAACCAAACACGAGTTTCGTGTTCCCTTTCTATTGTTGGTGTTCTTAGTTCCCTTTAAGCTTGTCCACCTGCATAAAAGAATTTCTGAGTATTGCACTATAGAATAATGATCATAAAGAACATCTCTGGCTGATTTTATAAGTAACCTGCTCTGTAGAAAAAACTTGGCTCAGTTGTGCACGCCAATTTTCATAGAGTTAATTAAATAATCATAGTTTTTTTTTAAAACTGGGAATGTTAAGAAAATTGAAAACATTGTTTTGTAATAAATCTCAATATGAATTTTGTGAGATAAAGGACAGAACTAGCAGCGAATTGATCAATGAAATAAACATAGTATCAAGTTTTAAGTTGGAACATAACATAAACTATTTTCAGAATAAATGATTTTTTTTCTAGAAAGAGAATAATATGACTTGCCAGAATCAGTCGGGCTGCAATTTCACAAAGAGAGAAGATAAGTAAAAAAGAATGACAAATAGCTTACACTGATTAAAACAACCAGCATCTGGCCAAGCATTCACTGTAAGTTGTATGGAGGTATGTAGTGATTTGAACGACACAATTAAATTGCAGCCAACTCTCCAGCACAGAACATCAGAAATAATTGCCTAAAGTTCAAAAGTTTAACTAGTGAATTTTAAAAATTATTCAAAGATGAAGACAAAGTATGTAAACCACTAATGTCCCATACATTTGAGCATTTTCATCCTTGCTAAACTTCTGTTCTTTTCTGGGTTCATTTCTTTTCTTATATAATTGCNCAGATAGAAAGAATACTTAATCTAAAGTCTAGTGGTCCACATGGAATTATTTACGGCTAGACAGCAGAAGCACTCTTTGATAAAGGCATCTACAAAAAAATTATTTTCAAACACAAGTGTCAAACATTTGGAGAATTATAAAACTTCGAGAATCCAGGCAAAAGCTTCTTTAATTTGGGCACGTCTAACCCAACACATCATCTGATTTGTGTAAGACAGCTGCCACGTGATTTGATAAAATACCATCTAGTAATATTTTCAAAACATTACCTGCATTGCATTAAATTTTCAGAAACTTAAAATCTAAATGTAAAAGCACGAGTCCATAGAGACAATGGTGATTAATATTCTACAGACTAGAGCATAGATGCATCATCCTTAGACATAATATATTTGAATAACTTGAAAATCAATTACTGTTGGTAACTAGTGAAAAATAATGACATAATGGTTTTTAATTTGTTTTTTGGAAGTAATAGAGCTCAATAGTAATTCTCTTAGATCTAAAATGAGAGTAGGATCAACCTAAAGCCAACAGGAGTAGATATTATTAGCAGCTGATGATGATGCTGGAGTAATACACTTAAGGCACATTAGTTAAAACAATAATGAGATGCACTTAAGGCACATTAGTTAAAACAATAATAAGATGCACTTAAGGCACATTAGTTAAAACAGAATTGTTGGTAAACGTAAAACTTACATCTTCTAATTTTGAGTTCAAGTCATTAACTTTTTTCTCTAACAAACACTCGAGTTTTCGTGTTCCCTTTCTACTTGTTTTGTGTTTCTAGTTCCCCTTTAAGCTTGTCCACCTGCATAAAGAATTTCTGAGTCTGCACTATAGAATAATGATCATAAAAGACACATCTACTGGTTGATTTATAAGTAACCTGCTTCTGTAGAAAAACCTTGGCTCAGTTTGTGACAGCCGAATTTTCACTAGAGTTAATTAAATAATCATAGTTTTTTTTTAACTGGGAATGTTAAGAAAAATTAATCACATTGTTTTGTATAAATCCTCATATATGAATTTTGTGAGATAAAGGACAGAACTAGCACCAATTGATCAATGAATATAAACATAGTATCAGTTTTAAGTTGGAACAATACATAACACTATTTCAGAATTAAAATGATTTTTTTTTCTAGAAAGAGAATAATATGACCTGCCATGAATCATGGGCTCCATTTACAAAGAAAGATAAGTAAAAAGATGACAAATAAGCTTACACATTGATAAAATAACCAGCATCTGCAAGGCATTTCACTTAGTTGTTCTAGGTAGTAGTGATTTGAATCGATCACAATTTAAAATTGCAGCCAACTCTCCAGCACAGAACATCCAGAGATAATTGCCTAAAGTTACAAGTTTCAACTAGTGAATTAAAAATTATTCAAGATGAAGACAAAAGTATGTAACCATCAATGTCCCATACATTTTGAGCACTTTTCATTCCTTTTGCTAAACTTCTGTTTCTTTTCTGTGTTTCCTTTCTTTTTCTTATATAATTGCTTTTTTTTTTCTCTTATCAAAATATTATTGTAGAATTATGATTTGTGTTCGGTTCATCTCCTAAATATTTAAATAGATCCACAAAGTGCAAGTGTATGTGATGAGAAAGCCTACACATTTTAATATGATTTTTCTGATATTTCTGACTTCAACTTTGTTGCCCCGTTACATGTCATTGCCATTATCTTACTTTCACCTCTTCCAAAGTAATTATAATATTCAATTATTTATTTTATGTAATCACATAATATTTTTATGTATTAGATAAATATTAAATGGTTTAGTATGTTAGTTTAATTATTTGATTAGTATGTTAGCTATATTTAACTTGGATTCTTTTGTATACATATTATAAATAAATTATTCTGAACTTTGGATGTTTAGACCACATTTCTTGACCATTACCATAAAAACCTATGAAAAAGAGAATTGTTTGCTGTTGATGAAATTCATTGTACAAACAATATCTAGAACATACATCATATTCAAAAGTTAACAGCATGTTTCTATTTACTTCATTGAGTTTTTATACATCACATAATTCAAAAATTATAACCATAATAATAATAATAATAATATGACTTGCTTCTCTATTTTGATATCTAAAATCTTGAAACCTGCTAAAGAAGTACATGTGTCGGTATATACTCTCTAATTTCCTATCCCCAAACAAAAGTTTCTTTTATTTTCCCTACTTGAGTTTATCTTTTACAATTAAGATTTGCTACAATCATATATATCATCTTCATGTCATTATCAAATGTGAAACAATATCAAATGCATACCTGTTAAGAAAGATGGAATTATAAGGCCAGTTGTTTGAACTTATTTTGAAGAATTAGCGGTTTTTTAATTAACAGATGTTTCAATAAAATATAAATAAAAACTGAAAAGGAAACAAAAATAGTTTTAGAGCTTTTCTTTTTTCACTCTCAATATTCCTGAAAAAAATTTCAATAAAAGATGTATCACAGAATCACTAAGCAAAGAAGCACTTACAAAGAAATCAATATCTCTGCATTGATATTAGCAAACAAAGCCTATAATTGTTCATCCTTCTAACATTTTAATAACAATATCTCTACATGTCTAAAACCTTAGCAACATAAATTTAATACCAATCTCATCCAAATGGAAATGAAAATCATTTGGATAAAGTAATCAAACCTCACACTTTCACTGATATTCTAATTTGTGCACTTCACTTCAATATTCCTTCCAATTCAAACAAAACTTTCTCCAACATATCAGATATCACAGGACTCACAGTACTAATTTACTATAATAGGTAATAGGTATAGGTAATCTAAATACATATAAAAGAACTTATTTTCGTGTACAGAAGCAGGGATTTGATCTTATTTTCAAAGCTGAAACTCTCTTGATACTGCATGACTTAAATAAAACTAGGAACCCTAACTCTGAGTCAGAGTATAATATTGGTGATGCCATTAGTATAAAGGACAGAAAGTCAACTTACCCCACAGAAGATGTATCAAGTTCATTCTTTGAGAGGATTATTGTTATCATTGACACATGTCTCGTTGTCTCTAAACTTCAAGACGGACAATGTTCAAAATTATGTTAGTAAGAACCAGCATCCATCTGATTGGAATGTTTAACACTTAATCCATTTAGAATTAAAATATTATTAGTTAGAGACTCTTACGGAAGGAGGCCTTCTTCTAGGGGCTCCCAAGTATCAATGATATCAGTGGATCCAATTGTTGTATTCTGGTGGAGGCCCACAATTCTCCTCTGCATTAACACTAAGCAATATACATATAATAAAATCCTAATTAAATGAAACGAAATACCAAAAAAGTGGTCAGCTCAGCTGCCAACAGTAACCAACAGACCTTGATCAACTCCACGATGGTAACGGTTTTGTTGATAGCTCTCCCCATTGCTTTGGAAACAATTTCATTAAAACCTTTCTCCTGTGAAAACACATAGGAAAGTTAAGATGAGCTTACAGAATTTGAACAGAAGAAAAACTTCACACATAAACTGAAGAGTCCAACCTAAGTTATTTGTCAATTATGAGGGAAATCTTCATGACTTAACTTCACTGAACTTTTACTTTACTCAATGTATGATTCATAATATCCACTTTTTCAGCCACCAGAGAATACTACCAGACATAATAAAAGGGAACATAGACTACCCCTTGATTGGGAGATTCACTATTAAAAGAACAGTGCTAAGAACGTGATAGGGTATTAAGAAGAACACAAGTTATCAAACATAATCAACACAAAAAAAAAGAAACAATGCTAAATCAGGTTCAAAGTTAATCCACTTGTGCATTGTAGCAACAAGTTACCTGAACAAATAGTCAATCAAACTACAATACTGAAAAGTAAACTACAAAAGTCTGAAAGAAAGATGAATGAATTCAAACTTAGTGTTTTCTTAAATATTTCAAATGAAAGGCCTCTAAAAATCAAGCTTAGACTGTAACAAAAGCAGGAACCTATCCAAAGAATTCCAGTTTCAAATTTTGTATCAACTCACAACCACCAAACAAATTAAGGAGGAACAGGAGGAGACACAACATGAACAAATGTTTCAGAAAAAACAACAATGGCATTATAGTTTCGACGATCAACAAGAGCAGAAGAGGATGATTCCTCAAAGGTGCCTATGAAACAAAATTATGTCCTAAGAAATGTTATGTTGGCTCAACTTAGCAAAGCACTTACCTTATTTATTATCTAACATTTTGATGAACCTTAATCTTGTTTTGCATTGAAAACTATCAAAGTTAAAGGAAAAAAGGTTTCTATAATTGAGTGATAAGACTCTGAATCATCATTATACTATGATATGAAACAGACCTACTAATGGCTTCTTTATGTTGATTATCTAGGATAAGAGCAAGTGTAGTACAACTAACACAAGTTGAAGCTAAAAACACTCTTAACATCCTAATGCAACAAGAATTGAATAGAAAGTTACCTTTTTGTGGAGGTCACTGTCTACATGGATCTATGAATGTGTGAGGAAGGAGCCAAAATATCTCTTTTTGCACCAGAACAAACTACGAGAAAGAAGAAATCAAAAGTTAGCATAAGCCTTACTTTTCGACACTCATTGTTCTAACATAAATGGGATTTCTGGGAGATAAAAAATAATGTATCAATTTTGCTAACATCATACCAATTCCTGAACCACTAAATACAAAAACCAGGGGACAAATACCTAATGGCAATCCCTTGTATACTATGAGGCCAACAGGGAATACCAAATTTTCTGCACTTGATCTTAAAAGTATTAGAAGTATTATTGAAAGGCAAACTAAACATAAAACATACACTCGCACAATTTCATAATTACAAAAGAGGATTGAGAAAACACAGAAGAAAAAAAGTTGAATACCTCAGGTGAAAGGTCATATCCAATGGCGTTAGTTCTCACGCTGACAAGAGCAAAAGAGGATGATTCCTTAGAGGTTCCTATCAAACAAAATTGTGTCCTAAGAAATGTCAGCAAAATCACAAGGAGAGAGTAAAAGAAAGTTGCAGAGAATTATAGTTCCAGAGAGAGAGTTTCCAATCGAAATTTGAGAGGGAGACATAATGGAGTTCATCGGCTGTGCAAACGGAGGGAAAACCCTAGAATTGCTAAATGAAGGATGAGACTCAAGAAATGGAGGAAAACCCTAGGCGCTGAAAAAAATACCTATTTATACTTCTTCTTGCCCTTTTCGTCGACGATTTTGATTATGAACTTGGTGGAGAAGATGTTGGTGAGCTTCGCACTATAGTCATTGCATCCACCAGTGGTCTTCTTGATGTTGTCATCATAGTTATTGTTAGTGAGCAAGTGGCCGCAAATGAGTTTGGGGATCTCGACGGGTATGGCATCGCCGTTGTTGAAGACGAATACAATGTTCTGTTTGGCATTGATGGTGACCTTGAGGGCTGCCATGGAGGGATCTCGCTGCTTATTGTCAACGGTGTTGACGAGGATCTCGTTGGAGATTTTGTAGAGGCCTGGAACGTAGGAGACGAGGCGTCGAAGATCTGGGATGGTCTTTCCCTACGGCAAGTGCGAGAAAGAAGGATGAAGTGTTGTAATAAAATTCAAACAAAAAAAATCTGTTGTAATGAAAAGTTTAATACATCATTTGATTTTAGGGGTTTGGTTCAAAGTAATCCTACCTTTTAAAAAAGTTCAGTAAGACCCCATATTTCGTTAAAAAATATTCAATCTTGTCCTTTTCTCACACAGTTAAAAATATAACGGTGCAAATGCCATTGTGGCATCTCATAAGCATGTGACACACGTTAATAAGTGGACTTAAATAATTTTTTAATTTTAAAAAATTATCCCTGCCACATCATCATCACTATCTTCAGACAAACCCTAATTTCTCTCCAAGAAACACTAGCCGCCGCACAATCGAGCGTCGTCACCGCCATTCTTACCGGAAGCCGTCCTCTCCAACGCATCACACACCACCACCAAAGTTATGCGACGAGAACGCGAGAAACCCTAGGTTTACACGGTTTGCTTGCAAGTCTGATTGTGGTTGCAGGTGAAGGCAAGCAGCGGTGCAATTAGTGGTGGACAAGAGTAGCGATTCACGATCTATAGCAGTTGGCGATTTGGCTGGTGGTTAGTGGTCGATGATTCTGTGGTGGAGATTGGAGGGCAGTGCTGCTGGCCCAACAACGATTTGGCTGGTGCGAGGGTGAAAATGGTGAAGATTGGTGGTCGCGGCATAACAAGGGATCGCGTTAGATGGTGGTACGAGAACGAAGGTGAGATGCGAAGGTGATGGAGGTGAAACAGAAGGGAGAAGACGCTTTGGTGGTGGCGTGTGATGCGTTGGAGAGGACGGGTGTCGGCGAGGATGGTAGTGACGGCGTTGGATGGTGCGGCGACTTGGGTTTCTTGGAAAGAAATTAGGGTTTGTCTGAAGATGGTGATGATGACGTGGCAGGAATTTTTTTTTAAATTAAAAAATCATTTAAGTCCACCTATTAACGTGTGCCACGTGCTTATGAGATGCCAGAGTGACATTTGCACCGTTATGTTTTTAACGGCGTGAGAAGAAAGGACTCGGATTGAACATTTTTTAACAAAATATGGGGTCTTACTGAACTTTTTTAAAAGGTAGAATTACTTTGAACCAAACCCCTAAAAGTAGGGACCAAATGATGTATTAAACCTAATAAAAACTTTCCAATATTACCTTTTTTTCCATTAAAACTAATTCTACACCGGTCGATAGGTTTTTTTTTATTCCTGGTTTGATCATAACCGGTATAAAAATATATATAATTTATTAACTTTTGTCATCATACATTTTCCATATTTGCAATAATACCATCATATCATTTTTTATACCTGGTAGATTTTAACAAGTATAAAATATTGTTATAAAAAGTATATTTTGTACTAGTGTTAGAACTTTTAAGAGAACTCATTAAAGAGGGAAATCATTCATTAACAATTTAAGTGAGTTCTCGCGTAGGGAAAATGAGTTTAGACAAAAACTTCTGATACTCTTAGATGAGACCAGTAAAAGAAAAATTGAGAGAGCACATAGGAAATTACAAAAGAGAACAAAAAAGCAAGAAAAAAGAAATAAAAGAAAGAGAGAGAATAGAGGAAGAAAGAAGCAAAGAAAAATAGAAGAAAGAAAAGGAAGAAATTGAAAGAAAAGAAATGGAAGAGAAGGAGAAAGAAAAACAAAGGGCAATATGTCCTCCAACAATCACAATACAATCAAGACTCTTAAGGGGAGGTTTTCAATCGTTTAACTTTTCTCCATTTATCATTGAGTTTTCAAAATTCCACTTTTCTTTCAAAGAAAATGTCATTCCATCTTTTAAAATGTTACAAAAACTTTCAAAATGTGGCAATTCAACCCTTGAGTTATGGTTATCTTTATGGTTATCACTAATTCAATACATTAATCAAATTTCAAATGAAGTAAGGCTTCTTAGTTTTATTAAAACTAAACATTTTTTTCTAAACATATTTATTTATATATCTTATTGGATCAAATAAAACTAATTAGATATATGTTTGATGCTTATTACAAATTGATATTTGACTCACAAGGAACTGTTGCAAAGCATGACAAAAATAAGTTCTCACAAAGACAAACCATCAAATTTGAGACAAATCCTTTTCAAAAGAAAACCAATGATCACTTGGGCCCAAGCCCAAGTATCTATTTTACTATTTCCTGTATTTTTGATTAAAACATGTGTTAAATGTGTTAAGCGTAGACATAGGAGGGACTTTTATCTCTATATAAACAAAGCATGCTAGCACTTATTGTTTCTCGTGCCTCATCATTCTCGAACACCATTTCCTCTCGAGAATGCCTTATCGCTGAACCACCTCCATTCGAGCATCTTCACCAACATCGTCACGAGCCTAGGGTTTTCTTCTGCCTCTAGGTTCTTCCTTAGTTTTTCTTCAGTCCCACCGTTTATATCTTCTTCTCCATCCATTAGATAATCTTGTCCACCGATTAGATCCTTTCTTGCTGATTAAAATCACTTCTCCACCATTCAAATCCGTTTCCGCATTAAACCATAGGTTTTAAACCGAACAAACCTTTGAGTTCAAGGTTTGTTTGTCTCCTTTCCCTCTTCGACACCAACATCTAGTTCGTTTTGCTGATTCCGTAGACTTGATGCTGATCTGCCATGACCAGGAAGGTCATCAAATATCTTCATTTTGTCTTTTTTTTTAGTTTAAGATACTTGTTCAAGTAAGCATATGTATAAACGAAAAATTTGCTTAAGATATTATAGTTTTGATTATAATAAGTAATATTATGTGGTGTTTCTTAATAAAATTACTAAAATGAAAAAAAAGTAACTCAAATATATAAATCATATCAAAAGACAAAAATTATTGAATAATATTTTGGGAAAAATTTCCCTAGTAATATATATATATATATAT